TGTGTGTGTGTGTGTGTGTGTGTGTGTGTGTGTGTGTGTGTGTGTGTAAATACTTTACAATCCCCATAAACTTGTTTAAAAACAGGTGGGGGTGAAAGTATAAACTCGGGCAGCCTTTGGGGAGGGCAGTTTGGAAGTGGCTATTAAAATCTTAAATGTGCCTACCACTAAGACCTGGCAGCCCCACTCTGAGCCGTCAAAGATGAGAAATACATTCACAGGCCTGTTCACAGAGCTGTATGCCCGGGCACCAGTACAAGGCTGCACATTGGTGTGTCCCCTTAACAGGCTCGGGGTCAAAGTAGTCACAGCATCCGCTGGAGGGGGCCGGCAACCCGTAAGTACCCTGCAGAACTCCGGCCACCAGAGAAAAGAAGGTCGAGCTACGTCCAGAGGCAGACAGTTCTTACCTTGACATGGGACACTCCATGTTTTCAGAAGGCCCTGGAATTCAGCCATCTCAGCAAGCACCTCCTTGTCCTAACTCTTATTTCTGTCAACTTCTTCTTTCCCTCTCCAAGAAGAACAGCCTGCTGGGATTCGATCTTTAAATCTCACGCCTGCTTGTCGGTGAACTTCCCCTTTAGAAAAGGAGACAAATGAGAGAAAAGCAGTTGCAGGCGTAATTAGCATCTGCTGGTGCTTCAATTAAAAAGCATAAAAGCACAATATTAAAATCTGATTTATGGGTGCCACTATCTACCCAACAATGTGGCCAAGAGCCAAAACAGCACTGTAGTCATTATGGAAAAGCAAAGCCTTTTTTTCCTCTGGCAGCAGACAAACTGGCTCTCAGTTTCTTCTTGCTTAAGGAGAAGGAAATGTTTGTTGGCCTCCGCAGTATGTTCTTCTGTCGTGCTGAAATCCAGAACTTAGTAATGTGGGATAAAAGAGGAGTTGTCTGGCTTAGAACCTCAGGGAAGTTTCCTGAGAGGCACAGTGGCTGGACACTGAGGTGGTAGCCACCGTAGGCCGCCATGATTTAAGATGGAGGTTCTGATGTTATCCCGTCAGAGGAACACCACCTAGGGACGGATAAGACCACCGTGCTTAGGGGGGAGGGAAAGAAAGCATGGGGTACTTAGCCCCTAGTTTATTCGTCTGTGAAGTGTGTGTGTGTGTGCATATGTGTGTATAAAACATGTGTGTGTAGGTATGTACCCACCCAGGTGTGCACATACAGAGGCCAGAGGTTGTCTGGTGTCTTCTGCTATCACTGTGTACCCTATTGTTTGAAGGAAGGTCTCTCAGTGAACTTGAGGCTTGCTGTGCCATCTAGACTGCTTGAGAGACCCTAGGATCCACCCCTCTCCGACTCCCGAGACTAAGGTTGCAAAGATACACTGCGGCACCTATCTTTTACATGGGCACCAGGGATTTGAACTCAGGTTCAAATGCTTACAGAGCGAACAGAGCCAAGCATTTTCACCCACTGAGCCATCTCTCCAGGCTCTGCTCAGTGACTTTTTTTAAGTCATTGTTGTGATCACAGGCTATCATTGAGGGGTCTGGAACTGAACCCATACTTTCCATCCCTAGGGCAATAGCCGATAGGGTGTAGGGGGCAGCCCAACAGAGGATTCCCAGTTCTGCTTCTTTTCCACTACAGAAGGCCCCTGTATCCCTTCTAAATACCTTTTTTGTTCATCCTTAGGACACTTTCTCCTTAGCAGGGGTATTGTAAGGCTTGCAGTTTTATAAACCCATAAAAGAGAACCAGCCCAGAATGTAACCAATGGATGGCAGTGCCCTTCTTAATGAGAGCTTCCTACTAAGAAGCTCAGTGAGGGAGTGCTGTCCCCTGCAAGACAGGATCCGTGGTTTAGAGCTGTCTGCTCATGGCTGGGCAGCAGGTGCCTGCAGAATCTTCCATTCTTAGCTCTCAAACTAAGAGCCACAGAGGTGGTCTTGATGACACACCCGTATAATCCCAGAATGCTGGAGGCCAAGGCAGGGGGATCCTGAGTTAGAAGCCACCCTAAACAGTGCAGCAAGACCCTAGCTCAGAAACACCCACAAAGAAAAACAACTGTATTGCCCATGATGGGCGGGACCCCAGGTGGCCTCTGTCAACCTGGGAGTGGGCCCCTCGTTCTCAGAGTGCTGAGCAGAGTCAGGGTGGGAGAAAGGCCTGAATAGAGGAAGCTGGACAGTGACAGGAAGTCTGACCCTAAGACTGGGAGATTATCTCTCCAACACCCAGCACATCCGAGAACTCCCTCATCTCAATTCCTAAATGGTGGCTCCATCCCAGCCTGTCCTACCTCTCTGGAGGTCCACGGGGATTACCGATCCACTCGGCCATGCTGGTTTTACCTGGGTTCTGGGTGTCCTCATTATGGTCCTCAGGCTTGCATGGCAAGGGCTTTACCCACTAGACCATCTCCCCATCCCATGGCTCTACACCTCTACCGTAGACAGCTGTGTAGATCCAGTGCCTGTGCGACCTTTGTACCCCCCCCCCCCCCCCAGAGCTTATCTGCCTTACAGCCAGGTAGTTGGGCACTCAAGCTCAGTCTGAATTCATGAGGTACTTCGAAGCCCAGGCTTGGGCTGGGAAACTGGGATCAGGTGCTACCTGCTGGCCCCCTTCTGAGAAGAGTTCTGCTCATGCCACGGACCCTGCAGGGATCACGAGCCATCTGTCCATATGGAATCTCCCTGGGAAGGGAGAGAGAGAGAGCTTGCCCATGTTCCTTCTGTGCCCTGGTTAATGGCATTTCTTTGTTTTCAGTCGAGAGGGAAAATGTGCAGAAGAGGACTTTCACACGATGGATAAACCTACACCTCGAAAAGGCAAGTGGGGAGCTGGTGAGGGATGCATTCACCTATATTCACCTGCAACTATGCTGATGCTTGCGTACAGTGGCGGGAAGGAGACATGACCCCCCCCACCCCAACCCGTGTGTGTATGTGTGTGACTTTGTGTAGTGTGTACTATGTATGTGTGTGGACATACAGAAGGTGGCACACGCCTTCAATCCCAGCACTCAGGGAGGCAGAGGCAGGCGGATCTCTGTGAGCTCGAGGCCTGCCTGGTCTACAAAGTAAGTCCAGGACAGTCAAGGCTACACAGAGAAACCCAGTCTCAAAAAGAAGAAGAGGAAGAAAGAAAAAGAAGAAGAAGAAGAAGAAGAGGAGGAGGAGGAGGAGGGGGAGGGGGAAGAGGAAGAGGAAGAGGAAGAAGAAGGTGGTGAGAGGACAATTGTGGTATTATTCCTTGCCTCCCACCTTGTGACATGGGGACTTCTCTCCACTGCTCTACACACCAGGCCAGAAAAGCAAGCTCCCCTTGCAATTGTCCTAAGTTAGAAAGCAGGGGAGCGGGGCTCCTGGCTGAGGTGGTTCACCTTTATGCTTGACTATATCCTGAGCGCCCATCCTTCCTGAGATCCCGTCCCTCCTTCAGAATGGCACAGTCACATCACCCAAGAGCACCTTGGACACTAAACAGAAAATGTCAAGGAAGCATCAAAAGTCCTTCGCCGGTTGTTTGGGTATGTTTTTGGCATTGCTCATGAAGCGAAACATGACTAGGGACTGGGTAGGGCAAAAGGAAAGGAAAGCCAGTCTCCAAACCTGAGCTTGGTGAGCCCCTAAATTAATGCCTGATGCATGTCAGGCCTGGCTGAGAATTCCTAGCAGGGGACAGGGTAGAGCCAGAAAGTCTTTCTTTTTATAGTTAAAATAAATAAATACTGAAAAGAGCAGAGAGTGTCCGACACTCACCCACCACCCAGTAGGAACCTTTTTGAACAGCATTTGTCACATCGAGGTCATTCTCCTTGGCCAGGCCTGCCCTGGTCCCTTTTCGGGGGGAGGGCAGGTAGGTAGCAGGTAGCACCCATTCTGGGGATAAATTAGACCAGCACCTGAGAGTGTTGTGCAATAAGCAGAGGGAAATTAGCAGCTCCGTTTCCAGGCCTGAGACTTTCAAAAACAACCTTTCATGGGAAGGAAACCTAGGAAGTCCTTGGTGAATTGGGCTTAACTACAATTTGAAGGCTGTCAGGAATATTTACTGAGTCTCTGGCTTCTGCAAAAGTCCCTTAATTTACAGAAGGAGTTCGATCATGCGGAAAGCCCTAGGGAGGTGTGGGGGTGCCGTGGTTCCTGCCATAGCAGACTCCTGAATCGAGAGGAATGTTGGTCCAGAGAGTGTTTGGGCTGGAGTGGTTTCACTCTCACCCCCTGCCATCCAGCCATGGACTCTAGCCAAGGTCTCGTTTGATGCCACTGTAAAGGGCCTTCCAGGAACAGCCAATGGAAATTAGCCTTTGGGTTTAAGTTCCAAGTCAGACTCGACCCCGGTCAGGCAGGTAACTGGAAATTTTGTAAGCCCATTCATCAGGGTCTCTTAAAAGGGAGCAGTGTGCCAGGCTTGAAATGTGCCTGTGGCCGCAAGGTTTACAAAAACAATACATTGCCTTTTGGTTCAAACTCACCGACACCCTTGAGGCAATGCCCTTTTCTGTGTGCCTGTAGGTAGCCTCATTCTGTAACTTGGCTAACTGGGGCAGGGGACTGGGACTCATATAAAGGATGAGGAAATGCCACCTTCCTTAATAAACAGTAAAACACCAAAGGCCCACCAAAGGGCCAGGGTAGGAAGGAGGCTTTCCCATAGAGGAGATTTTCCTCACCCTGGGTGTGTTCTGGGAAGAACTGGCCACTGCCCTAGTTAGCTAGGGGCATTGCATCCTGTTTCCCATTGTCCCTGGGGTTATATTAAGCACCCAGTCACCCTCCCCCGGCCAAGCTGGACAAACATAAGGGGAATTCTGGCCAAGGCTGCAGGAGCTCAAGAATTCAGGCTTCTGGTCCCTGTTGCATGAAACTCCATTGCATTCATTCCAACTGCTGAAGACCAGACACAGGAAATAGGATTTTACCAAATAGCTATTTGATGATCACGTGACCTCTTTGTGCCTCAGTTTCCTCAAATCTGAAGTGAGGGCTTGCACTAGATAATTTCCCACGAGCCCTAACAAAATTGTGTGTGTGTTTGTCTGTCTGTGTGTGTGTGCCTGTGTGCATATGTTTTGATGTGTGTGCTGATGTATGTATATGGGTAGCATATGGGTACATGTGAAGGCCAGAGGTCAATCTCGGGTGTTATTTCTCAGGAGCCACCCACCTTGTTTCTTGGGAGAGCCTCTTGGGACTGGGGCTCGCAGATTCAGCAAAGCTGGTTGTCCAGAAAGCTTCAGGGATCCTCCTGTCTCCACCATCCCCCCACCATTGGGATAACAACCATGCCCTACCATGCACAGCTTTTTAATGTGGGCACTGGGGCTTGAACCCAGGTCTTCATGCTTGTGAAACATGGCACTTAATCAACTAAGCCATCACCCAGGACCCAGAATTCTTTTATGCTCTGGGAGCCTAGAAAGCATGCCACTTCTTTCTCCTCTTAAACAGAAACCTGAATGTGATCCAGGCTTGGAGTCTGAGATCATGTTAGGCCCCTATTGCTGAATCTCTTCTACAGCTCTCCTGCAAAGTTGCCATACACCAGAGTTCCCCTCCAGGGCGATAGGCTTCTGCCTCCTCAGATGGCCCTTCTGCCTGCAAGTTTCTTGAAGAATAACTGCATCGAGAAATAATTCTGTTGATTACCCAGGCCATTAATTGACTTCTTTTCCTCCTGTCCCACAGTGCGACCCACCTCTAGAAGTTACAGACCTGTTTGTTGATATCCAAGATGGCAAAATCCTAATGGCTTTGTTAGAAGTCCTCTCTGGGCGAAATCTGGTATGTGTGTCACGGCAGGGAAAAGTACACAAGGAAGTGCTACCAAGGTTTCATTTTCAGGTGGATATCAGCTTTCTGTGATGTCATACTGTGACAAAATACCCAAATGGAAACAGCTTAAGGAGGAAGAGTTTGTTTGGGCTTATGGGTCTGTGGCCACTTGGTCCTTTTGCTTTAGGCCTGAGAAAAGATAGCATATCATAAGAGTGTGTAGCAGGGAAACTTTTCATCTCATGGTGGCAAAAAGAAAGGGACCAGGGATCCCTATAGGTCCAAAGATTAATTTCCTCCCACTAGGCCTCACCTCCTAAAGGTCCCATCACCAGCCAGTAGCCCCGTAGCCTGGTGTGTATAGGCCAATAGCACCTGGAGCCTTTGGTGTGTAGGTTTTAGGGGAATACCCCTGAAGTAGCCATGACATCAGGTGTAAGTGTATGCACATACACAGACAGAGTGCAACTCAGTATCAGGAAATGCTCAAGAGTGACATTCCTTTATCACATGAGGAAGGGGACTGAAGAGGTGGCTCAGCAGCTAAGAACACTCCCTACTCTTCCGGAGGACCTGAGTTCTAGTCCCAGCACCCACATCAGGCAGCTCGCGGTGGCCTGAAACTCCAGCTCCAGGGGACCCAGTGCTCTGAGGGCACCTGCACACATATGATAGACACATAGGCATAAATAAATGTAAAATAAATAGTGACGATGAGAGCTGGAGACATGTCTCAGCAGTTAAGCACACTGGCTGCTCTTGTGGAGTACCCAGGGTCAGTTCTCAGCACCATGTGGCAGAGACACAGCCATTTGTAACTCTAGTTCCAGGAGATCTGATGCCCCCTTCTGGCCTCTGTGGGAACTATACACACGTGATGTATACATAAAATTTAAAAAGCCACTCTTAAAGAAAATGAGTGATAGGGATGTATGTAACTGAGTATCTGTTTTTCTTTTATTACTGTGCATTTAGACACACACGAGGAGCATGCACTCAATAGGGTGTACATTTAGAGGTCACAGGACAACTTGTGGAAGGTGGTTCTCTCCTTCCATTGTAGGTTTCTGGGATCAGACTCGGGTCATCAGGCTTGTGTGGCAAATGCTGTTACCTACCGAGCCATCTTGCTGGCCTGTATCTGTTTCAGTTTGCTGTTTGCTTTCAGAGGGAATGTATTTTAGTAGGAAAATAAGTAAATGGATGCCCAGTGTTTTCAGTGAGCCTGGATGGGTAAGAATTTAAACTGGATGGTTCAAGTTAGCTGGCTAAGTACTGTGCTAACCAGGGTGACAGCTGAGCATTAGGGAAAGCTACCCTGTGATTGCTGGATGAGCTTAGTAGATAATCTCTCAATGCTAGGAGCACCCGTGAGCGTAGCAACCAAAAACGTCCACAGGCATAGTCAGGTGTCCTCCCCCCAACCAGGTGGCAAATTGATCTGGTCCAAGATTCCAGTCATAGGGGCTGGAGAAACGGTTTGGCTCGGCCATTGAGAGTGTGTGTGGCTCTTGCAAAGTTTGATTCCCAGCATCCACTTCAGGTGGTTCACAATTCCTGAAGTATTGGCCTATACATCCCCAGAGGATGCAAAGCACTCTCCTGGCCTGCAGCTCACCTGGCATCTGTACCTATGTGCACACACATACACATAAATAAAAATTTAAAAAATATAAGTGCTAGATGTTTAAGTTAAGAAACTGGCTCTAGGCTTGAGTATTTGATTTGGCCTTGGTGGTCCAGTCTTGCCTGTGTGCAAGTGACAGATGTAGTCTGCTCTGGACCTGGCTTTAAAAGCATCTCTCACCCAGCCTGGTGGTGCACGCCTTTAATCCCAGCACTCAGGAGGCAGCAGCAGGTGGGTCTCTGAGTTCAAGGTCAGCCTGGTCTACAAAGCAAGTTCCAAGTTCCAGGACAGCCAGCTCTACACAGAGAAACCCTATCTGAAAACAAACAGACAGACAGACAGAGATCACTACTTTTTGGATCTGTGTGGCTGGAACTTTTCACACCCATTTACCCTTCTCACCTGGGCTTTCCCACTCACAAACCAGAAGATGCCCACCAGTGCACCCAAGGGAGGCCGCTGTGCAAAACTTCCTGAGGCATTCTCAGGAGGTGTCAGTGAACAAGCTTCAGGGTCCCCCCAAAGGCTTTGCAAGAAAGTGAGTTCCAGCCCCTGTTCTATGCTCTCTGACAAGCTCCCACTTTGAAGCCAAGGCACATGGCAACAGCCCCAATGGCCTTTGACCCTTCAGCTCAGCAAAGAACAGTTCTTCTCCACTGCCCGTTAGTAGAGTGCAGCGTGTTCCTCCTGGTTGAACTGGCACATGTGTTCTCTGGAGGAGATGAGCTAACAGTGGCACTCTGTGAAGAACCCACAGTGTCAGGAACTAAGCTGCAGTCTGCAGCTGGCTTTGTGCGTTCTCCCCCAGCGCCCCAGAAACCAGCCACATCTGCTGCTGCGGGGGAGGCTGAGCTGAGCGGCAATACGGACAGCAAGCTCATTTCCCTAAGCTATGAGAACATGTTGCTATAGGTCCCTAGAGAGGGAGAGGCTGACAAGCCAGGAGCTAGTTGGAAAGAAAATTTAGACACATTTGTCCCATGCTGCAATTCTCCACCCACCAGCTTCAGTGAGCCAAGTCTCAGGATCCCAGTGTCACAGTGACTTTTGGATTCCTCCTGTGTGAGTGTTTTCAACACCCTCCCTCCCTAACCTTCTCCAAAAGCTTGTGGTAAAGCTAAAGGAAAGGCGCCCCCTGTGGTCCTGGGGCACTGCTGCACCAACACTGGCTTACCTGTGTTTTTTGTTTTTCAGCTGCATGAATACAAATCCTCATCACATCGTATTTTTCGGTTGAACAACATAGCAAAAGCACTTAAGTTTCTGGAAGATAGCAATGTAAGTGTTTGAAGCCCATCTTGGTAATACAAGCTCGCCCTGGGAAGAAATGGCAGGATTTGAAGTTTGGTGCTGGTCGCAAGGAAAGCAAGCTTGGAAAAAGGTTTAATAGCAGGAATAGCCAAGCTCTCCCAAGCTTAGTGTGAAGGGAAGTCACTCAGAGAATGGGAAGTCACTTTGAGATGAGGCCTCCATGCCCTGTCCAGCCTGTTTGTGCCAGTAGATAGGCATTCTGGGAGAAGGCCATCAGCTGGTTGGTTCTTAGAGCTTTGGCACTGACTGCTAGAATGTAGTTTTTTCTTGGGACTTAAGGACAGGGCACTCGGTGGCAGAGGGAATGGCAGTGTGGCTCTGTTATACAGATTTCCAGGTCTGCATTGGGAGCTGTTTCCTTTCCTTCCCAGATGGGAAGGGGAGGCCCGTCCTGGCATCCCTAAAGCTCCCCTTTTACTAGATTTGTTTCAGGACAACCTGGGTGGAAACAGTCTTCAGCTTGTCTGGCCCATCCGCGCAGAGGAGATCATTACCCAAAGGGGCCGGTCCTTTGAGGTTCTGTGTGTAAGACAGGCGGGTGTGTGCTAGCTCAACAGAAAGGGAATTGGGTGGGGATTCCAGTAGCTCATGAAGGGGCCGGGAGAATCCAGGATGGAGTCTGGGGAAAGCGGGGTACCTGGACCATCTCAGAACCTGTTGAAAGCATAAGCAGGCACACCTCCACACACCCCTCTCTCCTGCATTCCTGCCCTACTGCGTCTGGCTGCTCTCCCCCCCCCCCCCCCCCCCCCGCCTGGAGAAGGCGCTCACCACCGCAGTATTATCCCAAGCAGAATGGCGTGGATGCCAAGCCTGGGGCTGAGCCACTGCCCACGTCGTACAAGAGGTGTAGGAAGCACCATTTGCCACCGCACAGGAAGTGGGCACTGTCTCTCAGTGGCCACACAGTAGAGAAAGTCCTTCTCGAGAGAGGTTCTAGTGATGGTGACCACAAAGCACTCCAGTGCACGTTTGCCAGCAGAGCCTAGAGGAGGAAACACCAGGAATTTATCAGCCGACAGACGGATCAACACTCCTGGGGGATATTACTTGGTTGTGAAAAACTAATTTGGTGCTGGTGTTCGTTATGTCGCAGGACCACAGCACAGTCTACTGAGTGACCAATGCAGACAGGCATGAAGAGTGCTTCTTACGTGGTTCCGTCACTTGAAATTTCTATGATGGAGAAATGGATTTAAAGGGAGTCGATGAGTGGTGGCTCAGTCGTGGGGGGAGGCAGAGGGAAGCAGGATGACGGCTGGTGGATTCAGGGCTGCTCTTAGAAATGGAGTGTGTGGTCTACAGTCTGCTGCAGTGGTCTTCATGGGTCTGCAAATACATCAGACACACTGAGCTAAGTGCTCTGACTGGAAGGCCTGAACTGCCTGTCAACCACATCTCAGGGAAGCTGCTTAAAATACAAGCACTTCCCAGATTCACGCTGTCAGCCTCTACTTGAGTGAGGATCGGCCTTGTCTTAGTGTGACTAGGCCCCAGTTTGCAATCCTGGCCTCCCCACTGACTTTTAGGGACTGTAGGGAAATCATAGACATGACCCCCTGCCCCACCCCTACCCCTAGCCCCGCCAAGTGCTGTGTGGCCTTGTTTCTGCTACTTCCCGGGCTTGACTGACTGGACTTTCCTCAGTGCTGCCCAGGCCCCCTGTGTGCCATCTTTAGCATTTGCTTTCCCGAAGTGTCTCCTCTGAATTCCAAAGGACCCTTTAAGCAGCTGCCTAGGTTACCCTTTTCCCCTCTTCCTTCGTTGACCTTGAGAAGGGCTCCCACTGTTAATGCCCTCGTGGGTGAGTCTGGTCACCATTACCCAGGCTTGCATCCGAGTGCCTTTGCAGATTTTGGATGTGGGTAGCATTGGGGCGAATCAGGTATGTAAGATGCACGTGAACCTTAAAGGTGGTTGGGATCCGGAGGGAAAGAGTGATCTCGCAGACATGGCGCCTGAGCCCTGGTCTCACATATGAGGACATATGGCCTGAGGAGTCTGCATGTGAAGGCATTCCTGCCTTGGATGACTCTGAGCCCAGGTGGTGCCATGGGAAAGGGATGGCTGAGGCTGAGAAGGCCTGGCCTTCTGTACTCCACAAGTGAGCCTTTTCCGAGCTGTCTGCTCTATCGACAGTACCATTGACCACTGACCCCCTCACCTTCCTCACCTTTTTAATTAATTAATTTTAATTAATTAAAAACATTTAGAGGGCCAGAGAGATGGCTCAGTGGTTAAGAGCACTGACTGCTCTTCCAGAGGACCCGGGTTCAATTCCCAGCAACCACATGGTGGCTCACAATGTCTGTAACTCCTGCTCCAGGGGATCTGACACCCTCACATAAACATACATTTAGTCAAACACCAATGTACATAAAATTAAAAAAAAATAAGCAAACAAAACATTTAGAAATACATCAATGTGGTTGCGTATTAGTTCTGTGCCTATTTCCAAGGCAGGTAGGACAAGTATAAAATGCTGCAGGGAGATAGTGATCTTGGAGAAAGATGATGGAGAGGGGACAAGAAAACCTCACAGAGGGAAGCTGTGTCCCGTTTCCAGAATCCACAGTGTTGCTTAGGGAGCCTTATTTGTCCCCTTGTGTAACACTGCCTGGATTCCAGGAAAGACAGGCCTCGGTGGGTCTGCTGGGTCCTTGGTGGCAATGCCCATAGCTAGGAAGTAGGTGCAGACAGCGATCAAAGCTGTTGTTCTGGGGTCTGGGGACCAGCCAATGTGTACCCTCTCACCATTCAACTATGGGCTAGAGATAGCATGCCCCATGGGACCAGCTCGGGGACCACCAGTAAGTCACTCAGGCCTGGCCTTGGCTTTGTCACCTTTGAAATGGGGACATTGTGCTCTGTGAGAGAAACCGTTGTCATGAAGGCTCCTGTATCACTTCTCAAAACCTGTCAGCTCAGAAAAGAGAAAGGATGGCCCCATAACCCAGCGAGCTCATTTGTATTCAGGGTGACAGGGCAAGCTGAGTAAGGGGGACAAGGGGGAGACACTGTCCCTGAAGATTTGAAGTGTGGTGATTTTATTATTTGTCCATCACCAAGGATGGAAGAAGGCTCCTTCCTCCAGGGTAGGCTGTATGCTGAAGATGACGGTGATAGAGTCCCTTAAGTATTTGAGGTTCACTGGACTAGAATGTTCTATAATGGGCAAACCAGAGGATGCATCCAGGGAGGACTTGGGGGTGGGAAAACAGACAGGAGAGTTTCAACAAATGATTAGTCATGTGGGTATGTGCTGGCGGAGGAGCATGGACTGGGTATTGGCTCGGAGTTTGATGGGTTGCGTTCCTCTCAGCTTTGACAACTTCCTTCCTGGCCTCCGGTCTGCCTGTGATGGGCCCGTGTTGTCTCAATTACCTTCTTGGCAGTGGCTGTGAACGGCCATCAGCCAGGGAGCTGGGCAGTCAGCCTCAATTAGGCTATGCTAGGCCTAACTGATGTTGTCAGAGCCCCCCAATAAACCGATAAGATCGGAGACCTGAGCCAAAGCAGTTTAAAGACTCATGATGGAGAGGGAGGGAGGAGAGAGAAACTGCTGGATGACGGCCTCTCGAAGTTTTTCCTTTCCCAAGTGTCCCAGAGTAAGGTTTGCAGTGTGGGTTTTAAGAGTTGCTCCGACTAGCTCACTTCATCCCCCTTGTCCCTAAAGACAGCTTATGTACATTTGTGAAGTGTTGCTCAACAGGAGAGGAAATGGAACACAGAGACCTGTAGAGCTCTCATAGCCTCGCTCACCCACTCACTCTATGGCCCTCTCCAGAGAGGCCGGCAGGAGGTTGCCCTTCAGACCCAAACACTGTTTGCAGAAGGAAATGGTGGCTGTAAGCACTGACCCTCCATCCTGAGCCCACACAGGAAACCCTGTGCGTGTTCAAGTGCAGAATGCTCCTCGCAGGGTGGCTCCGTGGGTTAAAGCACTTGCTGCTTAAAGCACTTGATAGCTAAAATCTTCACTGAAAAATATGGGTGTAGTGGTTTTCATCTGTAACCCTAGAGTCCTTCTTTCCCCAGGGAAAGTTGGGGACAGAGACAGAAGGATATCTAGAGCTTCTTAGCCAGCCAGTCTAGCCAAACCAGCGAGTTCCAGGTCCAGTGAGAGACCTTGTCTCAAAAAAATCATGTGAAGAAAGCTGGACCTTGTGGCCCACGTGTTTAGACCCAGTACTTGGGAGGCAGAGACAAACGGATCTCTAAGTTCAAGGACAGCCTGTTCTACACAGCAGTTCTAGGTCAGCCAGGGCAATGTAGTGAGACCCTGTCTAAAAGACAAATAAAATAAGTAAATAAATGAAAATTTAAAAATAAGGTGGAGCCTAACAGAGGAAGACACCTGTCACCGAATGCACACTGTGGGTGTCAGGGAAACACACCTCCCTAACTAGGTCCTGGGATGTTGCAGGCCCAGGGGCTGCAGGTAGCTTTCGGGGTTCACCAGGAACATCTTTGCGTGCTCAGACACAGGTGAAATAAACGAGTCACCTGAGCAGTTCCTCATATGGCATACAGACAGCCTTTCAGGGCTTTTGCCCTCTCTTTTTGGAAGAGAATGGCAGAAACTTTGCATACGTTATGGCTCTGGGCAAATTGTATTTAGCTTTCTAAATGCTGTACCGCATAGTGGTGGGAGGAAGTGCCTACCCGATAGGCTTGTGGTTGGGGTGAACTGAGTCAGTGCTAATAAGAACTTTAAGGCTTTCAGGTAGTGTCCACACTTGGTAAGCAGTATACATGTCTTTATCAGATACAGTTTTACATATTGGGTGTCCCCAAGAGGTGGCCTTTGGCAACAAGAAATAGCACCAGGTGGTCAGCAGCACGAGGCTTCAGAGGGCGGTGGAGGTGGTAGGTCAGACTTGGAGTTTTGTGCTCACCAGCTGCTTCTTTTCAGGTCAAGCTGGTTAGCATTGATGCAGCAGAAATAGCGGACGGAAACCCCTCGCTGGTTCTCGGGCTGATATGGAACATCATTCTCTTCTTCCAGGTAAGCCGCTGCTTCCTGTGACATGAGGCGCGGTCATCTCTTGAGAACTGTTCTAACCACATAACAGCATGACCCCCAGCAAGGGATCCCACGAGACTTAGTTTCCGTGATTCAGACCTCTCTGTTTTCTGATGAGAGCCAGGAAGTGAAGTCAGGGACGTGTTGTTAGCTTACAAAGGCGATGCACAAGGGAAAGGTTTGCAGGGGCTTTGTGCCTGCTGATGTCCAGAGGCACACGTACAAGGCAGTGTTTGGAGTTGTGGACTTGTACCAGCCTTGAACTTGAGTCTCAGTTCCCACATTTGGGACTGCAGCAGTGGTCACAAGATATGCTTGGTATGAGAGCTTTGCCCACTGGACCAAGTTTGCCCAGGACACAGTCACTCTAACCTGGCTTCCTGAGAGATGCTGGGAACATCGGGCACTGTGTTGAATGTCTTGAATAAACCTCAGAGCCTCCCTCGCTCCTTTGGTAGATGTCTGTTGAGTTTCTTTGGTATTGCAGATGCTAGAGAGGCAGGGATCTGTCTTCTTGGGGGACATCACAAAGACATATGGAGTCCTACTGTAGGGTGCAGGTCACAACTGAGGTGTGAGCAGGGCTTTGTAAGAGCTCTAAGGAGGGACAAGTACCACAAATGGGTGACCAGAATGAGGAAAGCATACCCAAGGGATTATCCAGAGCTGGGGTTTGAAGTGTGGGTAGGAGTGTGCTTTGAGCTTGAGCAATGCTTCTTGGATTTACTGTACATATGAACTGCATGGGCATGCCAAGATGCCGCCTGAATCTGTAGGTGGGTCTGGGGCAGGCCTGGGCTTCTGCATTCCTCATCTGTACTTTGTGGTAACAATTCAATGCTGGAGGGAAGGGACAGCCAGCCAGCAGGCCCAGAATGATCAGGGACAATGAAGTTTGAAGGAGCATGATGCATTCTGGGAGACCCAGGTTATAGGGGAACAGAACAGATCGCCTGGTCAGGAAGAGTGTGCCCAGGCTGGTGAGAGCTACAGGAATCTCCGGAGAAGCTTCTTACATACTGAGAACCAGGTCTACACAAGCTAGACTCTCCAACTAGGGTCTTGTGACTTCAGATCAGAGGGGCCCACTGGCCAAGAATCCTTTGGGGTCAGTGGGTGAGATTTGTATTTTTCTCTCTAGATAAAGGAGCTCACGGGCAACCTCAGCAGGAGTTCTCCATCTTCCAGCTTGTCACCTGGCTCGGGGGGCACAGACTCCGACTCCTCCTACCCACCCACCCCCACCACGGAAAGGAGTGTGGCGGTAGCAGTGAAAGACCAGAGAAAGGCCATCAAGACCCTGCTGGCCTGGGTGCAGAGGAAAACAAGGAAGTAAGCTCAAGTCTCCCCTTCCCCAACCTAAACCCCGCTTAGGCCCACTGGTGTCCACCACGAGGGTTCCACACTCTACAAGGCTGTTTCCAGGCCCTGCGAGTGGTATACATGGACCTGGGTGGGTGAGGTAGATCAGATTCCATCTGCTAAGGTGCCAAGTGTCCACAGTGCTATGCTTCAAATAACCCATCAGAACAGGAAATTGATGTGCTTTTTCAGTTTATGTGTGGTAAGTGCATGCGACTGTGTGGGGCTTGCCCGTGGAGATACGTGTAGAGGCCAGAGCAAGCATCAAATGTCTTCCTTGATTGCTCTCCAGCTTATTCTCCTAAAACAAAGTCATTCACTAAATGAGAAGCTTGCCATTTCAGATAGGCTGGCCAGCAAGCTCCTTGCATCCTCCAGTCTCTGCTTCCCAATGATTGGCTTACATACATGGGCAGCCAGTACCTCACTTTTTGTGGGGGTGCTGGAGATTCAAATTTAGGCCCTCAAGTTTGTGTACCAAGCACTGTTACAATTCCCTAAGCCCACCTCAAGCAGTCTTCTGCCAGGCCTTTTACTGGCAGATCTGCGCCAGAGGTGCCAAGCTAGGATAGAGAAAGCCTCACCCACTTGGGGACATCCCAGCTCCTCGGGGTACAGCCTAAGGGGTGTCTCACATGTCCAAGCTTCCCCTAATAAGCAGTGACATTATTAATTGCCTTCCAAGACAGTTGTAGGCACAATCTGGGGAAAGCTGCTTGCACCTCACCTAACAGACACTTAATACTCTTCTGCACACATCCCCATATCTGGGGAGAGGAGATGGAATGAAGGTTAGACCTTTGGTGGGTGGAGTGGGGGGGAGGGGCTGAGGGAGGGAGTTGAGTGTGAATGATTAGAATCGATTGCTGGGAAAACCCAGAAAATGTTTAGACCCAGGAAATAAATCAAGCCAAATCACTGCCAGGGGCCAATGTGAGTGTGAAAGAGAGGTGGCAGCTGGGGAGATGGGAGCATTCTGTGCCCCTCATACTATACCCATGTCACTCTGCACTTGGACGATGGCATGTGACAGACAGCTGGTGACTTTGGAATTGTCTTGATGACTGTCCCAGCCCCTGGCTTTGAGAGTGAACCCTGAGCAGACCACAGGGGCCAAAGCTTGCAGGAACTCTGCCTAGAGGTTTTGCTGCCGTGGGGAGCCTGAAGTTATTTCTGCATTAAAAGGTGTTAGATTCTGTCAATAAGAATAATAAGAAATGAAAGGTAGACTCTAAAGAGAACCCACACCTCCTGGCATGATTCTCTTTAACCCTCACTTTAAAAGTTATGGTTTTAGAGTAAGGGAGATGGCTCAGTGTTTGAGGACCAAAGTTCATTTTTCTAGCACCCACAGACTTGGCAGCCCATCTGTAACACCAGAGCTCAGAAGGCTGAGACAGAGGGTTTCCCAGGGCAAGCTAGCCAAACTAGCCATGCCAGTGCATTCTGGTTTCAAGAAAGAGACCTTGTCTCTGTACACACAACAGAGAGCAACTAAGAAGACTCCTGACCATGGTCTCCAGCTTCCAAACACGTGTGCACCCACACCCCACATACACACACACACACACACACACACACACACACATACACACACACACACTCACCTACACATGAGAGAAAAAACAGTTGTGATCTTATGAGTATTTATGATGCTGGAAGCTGACACTCATCATGTCCTTCTGGCCTGCTTCACACACTAGGTCCACCTTTAGACATGGCCATTCTTGTGGGAACATCACCCTTCCCCATAACAGCACCCCATGAGTCATCTGTATTTACCCTGTTTTATAACTAAAGTGTTAGAGGCCCAGAAAGTGCCTGCCTGTTACCACAGAGCCAGAAGCACAGAGGGACAGCTGAGATAGGACGTTGGATCTTCCTGGGTCTGCCTATAACAGAGCACATCCCCTTGTGTCCCCTTTTCATCGTCACTGATGATGTGTGCAGTGTGAAAAAAAAAATCTCTTCTTTATGCATTTAGAGATGGAACCAAGGGTCTGCTTTGCCTTTTTGAGTAACGTACACCTCCTGCTACTTGTGGAAGAAAATTCTCAGGGCAGCCCTTACGGTGGTCAGAGCCAGGGTGTCTCTGCAGGGTGAGAGGGAAAGCAGGGTTAGGAGGAGACCACCCAGCCCCTCAGGCCCTCAGGTGCTGCGTGCACCCTGCTGTGCGCTGCCTGGGTTCTTTTACTGAGCTGTTGCTGTCCCTACCACTTCTCGTCAGGTATGGCGTGGCCGTCCAAGACTTTGCGGGCAGCTGGAGGAGTGGGCTGGCTTTCCTGGCTGTCATCAAAGCTATTGACCCCAGCCTGGTGGACATGAAGCAGGCTCTGGAGGACTCCACCCGGGAAAATCTAGAGAAGGCCTTCAGCATTGCACATGATGTTCTTCACATTCCCAGGCTCCTGGAGCCGGAAGGTACACTGACCCACCCTCTCTGTCCTTTTCACTATTATTGTTACAAATATACCATCTGCTCTTCCAGGCAGGAAACTGAGAAAATAAAAATAAAAGTCTAATGAAGAAAAAATTCTATTTCCCATGTTATAGTCCTTTTTGTGCATCTCATTATAATATTTTTATATAATTGAGATCATTTGGTCAATGTATAATTTTGTCTCTTTTATCACTCATCATACATATATTAATATTTGCTAGTATATTTGTATAATCTCCTGGTTCAATATTTATTTGTATTGGCTGCATAATACTCTACCTGTAGGCATACTAAATTTACCTTCTATTTTTTCATTTTTAAGTCATTAAAGTTACTTCAGAAAGGATCACTTCAGGGGTTGGAGATGTAGCTCAGAGGCAAGTTAGATCCCCTAGTTCTGTAGATGGAGGGGAGGAGGGAGAAAGACAGAGAAGGTAAGAAGGAAAGAAGGATCATTTTTGCATGCAGCATGACTGTAACATCTTACTTACCCAGCATGCCTTTGACTGTCCCTCAAGGACCAGCTCCCACCTGTAGAGTGACAGGGGAGTACAGGAAGGTGTGTAACTCTGTTCTGTCACATTGCTTTCCACAGTGGGGTGTCTCATTTGGGATCCCCTGCAGCAGGATGTCATGGTCACCAGATGTCATGGAACCAGCAGTAAGCTGACTGGTCACAGATAGTGAAGGGAACCACAATTCAAGGGAAGAGGAGCAAAAGTCCTGAGCATAAGGATCCCAGGATTCCCCATCCCAGTTCCTCCGTCCTTTAGCCAGCTGTGGGACTTTAGCCAAAGGCATTGCCCCTCTCTGTGCCTGGATTGCTTCAAGGGGTGTGTCCCTTCCTTATCAACACCCTGGAGTTCTGCAGAGAAAGCATGTGTCTTTGCTAATGCCTTTGTCTCTCTCGACAGATATCATGGTTGACATGCCGGATGAGCAGTCCATTGTGACTTATGTGGCGCAGTTTCTAGAACGCTTTCCGGAGTTGGACCCTGTACGTTTGTTTCCCTTGCCTTTAATTCACAAACTGGGCATTTGGAATGGGTGCTCTAGGGACAGGCACAGCTGGGGCTTGGGCTGCATAATTCTCTGTGGTTAACAAAGTGACCTCAGGTTCCTTGCCTTGTTACATTTTCATTCCTAAACCATCTGTGACATAACACCTCAAGGTCTCAAGTGGAACAGAAAGCCAGTCACATCACAAACCTCTTCCCCTACCAAATTTGATTAAGATGATAGAGATGTTCACTTGTCATCCAGATTTCACTCTTTAGATACCCGGTGGCATATTTCAGCAATTCACCACACTTTATCAGAAGGCTCAAAATGGTGAAAGATAATGATCATTCATGACCAGCATGCTTAAGGAGTATGAGTGTTCCTGTGATGCTGTTGTTGTTGTTATTTTGTTTTGTTTTGTACTTGAGACAGGATCTCATGTTATAGCTCCATCTGGCCTTGAGCATTTGCCAATCCCCCTGCTTTAGCCTTAGCTCTGCTTGTTCTCAGCCCTGCCTTGGCTCTTGCACTGAAGACGCCCCTGAGTAGAGTCATGAGGCTAAGATGAGAGTTGATCATATAGCTTGATTATGGCCCTTCTGGCTCCAGGCTTTTACAGTGATGCACATGGTCAGTAAGACCATGGCTGGTCCATCCTTACCTCAGACGGGCAGGCTTCCCCACTAGCAGCATGCACAGGAGTGAAGCAGCTAAGTGGCTATCCACTGTCCACCAAACACTCTATCCAGGGTGTTGATATCTCTTTACACCCATGGTTTTGAAAAGGCGTATTTCATATTTCTATTTATCTGGCATTTTTGCATCTCAGCAGCACGGCACCTTTTGGGGATGGCTGACATTACCATTAAAACTCCTGTTAAAGTGACTTTTTTGTTTGAGTTTGGAGAAGAGGATGGAAGTTACACTTGAAGGCAGAACCTGAGGTTTCATGTTGTCTTGTGTTTCTCTGCAGGAAGATTTTGTGAATCCAGACAAAGAAGCCCCCATTGAGTCCACCTTTGTCCGAATCAAAGAAAGCCCTTCTGAACAGGAAAGCCGAGTCCTTCTCCTCAGCGAGAATGGAGAGCGGGCCTACACTGTCAACCATGAAACCAGCCACCCACCACCTGCCAAGGTCTTTGTCTGTGACCAGGCTGAGAGCGCCAAGGGCTTCAGTCTGGCTGGTACGCTGGACAGCTCCACAGAGTTTATGTACCAGATTATCGACCAGGTCCTCCCGGGGAGCCCGGGAAAGGCTGGATCTACCAACGAGGCAGCTCCAGAATCTTCCATTTTATCAACCAGAAAGGATGGCCGGAGGTCCAACTCTTTGCCAAGCAAGAAAACTGTCCACTTTGAGGCTGACTTGCACAAGGATGCCTCGTGTAGCAAGGACCCTTTCTACAGCTCAGACTTCCGCTTTGAGGGGAGCCCAAAGGCGGCAAAGGACCTGTCAAAGCAGGATGGCCACGTCTTATTGGTTGAGGTTGCCAAGGAAAAGAAGCCAGAACAGGAAGCCAGGCCAGTGCTAGAAGCTGCCTCAGACAAGGTCCCTGGAGACATTAGTGTGGATGGTCTGTCCCATGATGCTCAGTCTCCCCAGGACTCCTCATTCTACAATGGCACTGTAGAAAGTCCAATCAGCCAAGGTGAGAAAAGCCCCTCTCCCCCATGCCCTGGAGATCACACTATCCTGGCCAACTCCACTGAGCTCAGGGTCCAGCTGCAGACTGCCGAGCCTATGGACAAAGATGACTATTTTGAAGCCATCCCACTAAAGGCTTCGAAGTTTAACAGAGACCTAGCAGATTTCGCCTCCACCAGCCAGGCTTTTGGTAAGGCTCCACCACCCCATGAGAAGACATCTGAGGAAGAAGAGGGTTCCGAGAATCACACTGAGAAACTGGGGAAAAGGAAATCAAAGTCTCCCCACACAGAGACAGAGTCCACTGACTCCGAAGTGGACCCCCACGAGCTCAAGCCTCCTCCCAAGGGCCCCGAACGGGAAGATTGTGGCCATCCTTTGCCTCCAGAAGGAACACCTGCAGATAAAAAGCCCGAAGTGTATGAAAAGGCCAAGAGAAAATCCACCCGGCACCGCAGCGAGGAAGAAGGAGAAACAGAAAGCGCCGTTTCCGGGGTTGGCAGAGAAATGGTGTCCAATCCTCCGAGTACCGGCGTCAGCCTGGAGACCCTCAGGAGTCACAGTGAAGAGGGCTTGGATTTCAAACCTTCCCCACCACTCTCCAAGATCTCCGTCATCCCCCACGACCTGTTTTACTACCCACACTACGAGGTGCCCCTGGCCGCAGTGCTGGAGGCTTACGCAGAAGGTGGGGAGGATTTAAAAAGTGAAGACGTAGAGCTGGAGGGGCAGGAAGAGAGCTATATGCAGGACTCCAGGGACGAGGATGAGGAGGCCCACAGCTCCCAAAGCAGCTGCAGTTTCTCCTTGCCTGTTGACAACAGCCACCCCAGCGTCAGTGACCAGGCATCCCATGTCGACGGGAACTCTGAGGGGCCCACCTCAGCCTCAGGACCCGTTTCTCTGCCCTCCCAAAAGGACCACCAACCAAGGGAAACCAAAGAGAATGGTCCTGGGGAGAGCCATCAGGTACTTGAGGTTTGGGAGTTCAGAGCTTCTCCCTCTGTAAGCTTTCCCTTATGGAACCCGTAAGGTGTAGAACTTAATGTCCTTCCAGGAGGCTCCAGCAAGTACTAGGTCAACACCCAAATGGGAGTCCCTCATTTAAAAGCAGCCATTAATAGTCAGCCTAAACTATTAATAGACAGCCTAAACTGTCAGGTCATCTGGGGACACCTGGGAAATAGGGCAAACTTGCACTGGACTCCAGTGTGATTCTTCGACACCTTGGCTGTGTCCAGCTCTGTTCTTTGGTTCTTGTGATTCGCCATGGAGTGTGTAGGCAGGATGGGGATACTCATTCTAAGCTCAAGCAGCTGAGCACACATTTGTCAGCCACTTGTGTTTCCACTCTATCTAGCCAGTGGCTCAAGGAGGGTACAAGAGGGGGCAGGTGCAGAGCCCTGGCCTGATGCCCTGGGGAGCAGGCGAGGTCTTCCAATGAAGAACTGCCTTGCAGCTCTGGGAGTCCTGGTGGGGTGACATGCAGAGACACTTGAGAGGAGAAGGGCCCGGGTTCAGCTCCAATAGTTCGCACGCCTGGCGACTCAGCAGAGGTCCTCAACCTGTGGGTCACGAGCCCCTCGGGGACGTGTCTCAGCTATCCTGCCTGTCAGGTATTTACATTACAATTCATAGCGACATTAAGTTATGAAGTAGCAACAAAATAGTTTTGTTACGGGATCAGCAGGAACTGTATCACAGGGTAAGGAAGGTGGAGAGCCACTGGCTCAGCCCCTTTGGAAGAAGCGTCCTGTCCAGCAGCAGAGCAAGGTGAGGGCAAGGGGAGGTGTGCCACACTACTCAGCAAAGCGGCCACAGAGAACATGGCATCTGACGTGGAGTTGGCGCTGCAAAGTGTTCAGCAGAGGGAGTTTCCTCAGACCCAGAGAGGCTCTGGGGTGTGGGAGAGCTACTCAGTGCCTGGCCCTTCATTTTTCGAAGCTTTCTGCTGGGAATTGCCAGATTCAGATTGAGCACCTGCTGTGTGCTCAATGGACAGGGGTGGTTCGGGCAGCCCTGGGTTGGAGTCATGTGATCAGTTAGGAGATTTAAAATCCCATCTGCCCCAAGTCTTACTGGTGGCCAGCGGGGCTAGCAGGGTAGGGGGCCAGAGCAGACTTTCTTCCCCAGCTCTGGGCACAGGGGGAGTGATATTGACACAACTTGTATTATGACTCTGACCCACAGCCTTTCTTGTCTGCTGCCTCCAACCCCACTTTGCACTTGGGCCCGAAGTACAGACCCTGCTTTACCCGGGGAGTGAGCAAAGCCCATGGGTGGAGAGCTCTGAGTCTGTTTCCTACCACACGAGGAAGTGATACCTGGCCCTCGTTTTTGTCAAGACAGGGTATCTTTGTGTAGTCTTGGCTGTCCTGGAGCTCACTCTGGAGACCAGACAGGCCTCAAACTCAGAATTCTGCCTGCCTCAACCTCCCAAGTACTGGGATTACGGGCATGAGCCACCATCGCCCGGCTTCCTCCTTTCAAAAAGTAAAGGAAAGACTATCGGAGCAAGCCTAAGTCCAGAAAATGGCCAGTTTTTTCTTGTTCTGATGATTACCAAAATAGAATAAATAAAAGTACTTTTCTCATTTCCTTTTTAAGAATGGTCCCTTCGCTCAACCATGACGGACAATGGTCTCATGTGGCTAAGAGCACTTTCAATCCCTGCCAGGAGCTTTGTTCAGGGCAGCTGGCCAGCCCTCCAAGTCCCTTGCCTGACCCCTGTTGAGCAGGTCCACCCTGCCTGCTCCCACACTTGCTGATCAGGTGCCCGGTGTGACAGTGGCTAGATATTCCTTTAGATATGTGGCCCTGTGATCCCTTCCACCCAAGGCACAAATGTCAGTGTCCTTCTACAGACTCTGTGTTTGCCTGTGTGTGTCCCTCTCTGGGGACCTCCTATGTACTCGGCCACCTGGCTCTCAGGACTTGTTCCTCTGTGTAGGTAGCTGACTATATTGAAAGTTCAGCCATTGCCTGCTAGAAGGGACATCCTTCTAAGGAACCTCGTGCTGCAGATGGAAGAGGGTGATGGTGGTTGGACCCATTTCACAGCTGGGAAAGTGAGGCTTAATGAGAGACAGTCAGGCTTGAGGTCAGGTAGCTGACCCAGGCAGGATTTCATAGCAGAGCTTCCTGACTCCAAAACTTGCTGCCTTCCCTCCGATGATTCACAGCCTTTGATTTCTGCACAAGCTGCAGAAAGTGGGGTGGGCTGGAAGGAATTCATAAGATGAACTGAGTTGGAGGGGACACCGGCTGAATTGGAGTAGAGCCAGGTAATGATGTTGTCTCCTTCAGCAGGGATTTTGACCTGCATTTTGGCTATTTTGTATTCTAGTCCCAAGAACCCTCAAACCCGGAACTCCCCACAAAGCTGTTAGAAGAAAAGTTAATGGAAACCTCAACCAGCAGTAAAAAGAAAGAAAAAAGGAAACATGTGGACCAAGTAGAAAGCTCATTATTTATAGCCCCTGGGACTGTCCGCTCCTCAGATGACCTTGAAGAAAACCCCTGTGAACACAGGGTCCCTTCCAGGTACGACACCAAGGTCTTGTTACTTGAGAAACAGAGGCAGGGGCTTGCTTGCTAGGGGTGAGTGAGCATCTTGTTTTGGATAGACAATGCATCAGGGGAAGGTGCAAGCAAAGGCCAGCCCATGGAGGTCAGCTGAGGAGAACAGACAAGGAAATGTCTGTGTCTGTGGGCATGAGGTATGGGTGGCCATGGCCTACACAGAGTTTGGTCACTGGTAACAGAACAGGGAGCAGTTACCTCTCAGTTTCTGCTTCCCATCTCACTCAGGCATGGTGTGGCTAAGGATGCTGAGGTTCAGGTAGACCTAAGCACAGCAAATTCTGCAGCCCTAGGGTAAGCGGACGGCAGCACTGAGGTGAGCTCATTTATGTGAGGGATTCTTGGAGTCTCCACTTGCTGGCCCCAGGGTAAAACTGAGCTTCCAGGAAGTTGACACCTGGCTTGAGGTCGCAGGATAGGACCGTTCTCTGGGTTCCTCTCTCCTAGAAATGTGTTTCTGCTCATGACTCAGTTGGTCTTCCTGCATAGCTTTTTACTGGCCTAGGCAGAGATGCCTAGGAGCCCACAGGACCCACGTGATCATTCATGCTCACACCAGACACCTCTGGCCTTGGCCTTCTACCTCAGGTGGGGTTCATACTCTGATTTAGGCTCCGTCAAACTGGAGAGCTGTCCTCTGCATTCAGTTCTGTTCCCTCGATCATTCCAGCTCAGCCTCTAAGGGGACCATTCCATTATAACTCTTCCAAGCAGCTGTCTTGGATTCCCATGGGTTATTTTTACTACATTCTGGGACCGTAGCATCAGATATATATTTTTTTCTTCTTCTTCATAGAACAGTTTAAAATTTCTGGCTGCACTGGGGACTGAAATCATAGCCTCATGCATGTTGCCTAGGCTGGCTTTGAACTCACTCTGTGGCAAAGGCAAGGCATGGCGTTCACTCCATCATTTAGCATGGCACTGGCTTGCAGTGGATGCTTGGTTCTTTGGGTAGATGGATGCATGATTGGCTGCGCTTCCCCTGTCTCCTGGAGGTCAGGAGTGGGTCCTCAGGGCCTGGTTTCTGGGAGAGTAAAGGTCAGGATTCACACCCACTGTAAAGCTCATACTGATAGAGTATAGTGCAAAACCACCTGAAGAGAAGAGAAGCTTGCCGCAGCCAAGCAGACAGAGAGGTCATTCCTTCTTACCAGAAATGTGGTTTTTGAGTTAGGAAGCATTACCTACACATAAGGGCAAGAAGGGGGTTCTGCACCCCCCAGCTGCACCATGAGGGGGGTCAGGTCACTCTGGACACTGCTGAGCTCTAAACCCCAGGGTCCCTTTTGCCTCTGATGTTGCATTTTGCCTCATTCCAGTGCTGTGGTAGCAACGGGGAATATGTCGCAGGAACTGGTCCAGGGACTTTCTGAGAATATGTACTTAGGCCAAGTGCCAGGCCCTGGGGGGCCGTGTAGAGAGCTTCCTTAAAGGAAACTGAGAGGACACTGTCGAGGTGCATAGTACCCACCAGATATCCCGTTCTGTTAGGCAGCAAGCCAGGATGCAAGGCATTCTGAAGGTGGGGTGACACATTCTAGAGAGGGAGAAAACTGGATAGAGATGTCAGTTTTCAGCCAGCATTGACCTCTCAGCCAGGAACCATGTCAACACGGCTCAGGATTCCTCTTCCTCCACCTTGGGAGTGGCATCAGCTCTGCTTGAAAGACTGAGGGCCGTCCCATGTCAGCCTCAAAGATGTGGGCATAAGATCAGCCTCCTTATGCATGAAAGGAAAAATGGTGGTAGCCCCCAGGGCTAGATGGGCAGAAATTAACCATATAGCAAGGATTACCAGAGAGGAAGGCCAGCCTCCAGGCCTTGGGCCCAGTCCCACCCTTAATGTGCAGGGGACTGCAGGTGAATCTCAAAATCTCAGGAGGTTTGGATAGAAGGGCCCCAGTCCTGGCCCAAGTCCTTGGAGTTTTAGAAACATTCGGGCTGCTTTCTAGTAAAAACCCTGCTTTGCACTCTGGTATAGATGAGGGCCCAGTGTCTGTGGCCACACCTGTCTGTCTGTTTTAACAGTATGGACAAACAGTTACAAACTGTCCCGGGGGTCTGAAGCCAAGACTGTACTTAACTGCTGTGGAAGGCCGAGTGGTGCCCATTCACAATGTGTCTTTGCTTTTCAGGAATAGTCACAGTGACTCCAGCATTTACATTCGGCGACATGCTAATAGGTCTTTGGAATTGGTTAGTATGTGAATTTCTTCCTATGGCCCCCTCGCTAATCAGTACCTTTCCGTCCATCCATCCATCCTCCCCTTCCCGGCCCTGAGCTTTGAGATTACTGGCCAGCACCAACCTTACATTGGGATAGAAGACAGACACACTCGAATCCTTGTTAAGCACAGTCCAATCGGATGTTCGGTTTGGGCAAGAAGAGGTGTAAATAAAGCATTGATTTCAAAGCCCAAAGGCCTCTTTGTCATAAAAAAACAAACAAACAAACAACAATAAAACAAACGAATCCAAGCCCCCTGTACCCACACCTAGAGAGATCACAGCAAGGGTCAAAGGGAGGGTGCCCGATCGCTAAGGATCCTTGTGACATCTACAAGTGCTGAGTCCTGCAGAGGCTCTCACCTCACATCCGGTCTAGGTGGTGGGTGGGCCTCTTCCCCGTCACCCTTGGGTGGGAGGCTTGGGGAAGGAGGCATTTGGTATCTGCTGTTTAGAAAATTTGATTTTTGAAACTAGATGTCTGCAGTATCGAGAAAAGCGTGGCGCGGTCGGCCTTGTAAGCTTAAAATCGCCTTGTTTTCTGTTTCAGAGATTTCATCTTTACTAATTGGGTTGCGGGGTTTTGTTTATAAATTTCACTGTAGGACCACTTTAGCTATGTTCAGTTGAGGAACGCAGCCGATCTGGATGACAGGAGAAACAGAGTGCTAAACAGGTTGGTGGCCTCAATCCAGAAGTTTGTGGGTGTTAAGTATGTTTCTATATATTTAAATATACTATTAAATAAATATATTTATTTAACTGTATATGTATGTATATGCATGTGTGTTTGTGTATGTATATCCTACCACACAGGGGCCGTTATTTTTCAACTATAGCTTATTGATCATGTTAATGATTGGGAAAATACCAGAATAGCCATTCCAAATGAAATGAATGTAAATCAATGAGGGAAAAGTTAGATACTCCTGAGATATGGACAGAGGGGCCGAGCACAGCTCAGGATGCATGAGTAACAAGATGTGTCTGGGTTCTGAGTCTGAGGCTGTGTCTGAATACTTCAGGGGTGGAAGCCAGTTGTCAGAGGTAGAGCTGTATATGTCCCGTCCTGTAGCACCTGACCCTGTGTCCCTTCTGTCCCACTGCAGGTACAATTCTCAGAAGCTCACTGAGCTGATTTTACAGTTTTACGGCATCAGAGCAGACATGAAGCGGGAATACAAACATGCCAGGCTGTCTATGAAAGTATTCATTCCCGGTGGAGAACTGAATTGTTTGGTTGATAGTTCTCGAGTTACCGTAGTAAACGGGTCCACTTAGAACCTGAGCGACCCGGAACAGACGCTCTCTAGTTCTGACGTGGTCCTACCCCTGTTAAAGGCACAGCAGTTACTTTTCTGTTGTCTCACCGCTGAAGGCTTGCATGGGCTTGGATGGATTTTAGATGGCTGGGGTTGCAGTCTCCGCCCAATGTCCTGGGGGCAGAGCGCTTAGACCTCCACTCTTTGGGGTCCTAAAAACAAATACAGACAGGATCCCCTGCTTCCTTCCTGGGCTTAAGATGGAAGTGCTAATTTCAATTTTCCACCAAAAGGAGTTTGCAGCTGGGGAGAAAATGCGTTTAGCTCTGATCACGTAGAGCACTGAAAAATAAGAACTTGATGTAGGCAGCAACAAATATAGTTTATGTTTTTTTTTCTCTGTGGGCCAGAGAGAAACTCTGCCCAATGTCTGCTATTCCTGCATAAGTCAGGCTGTTGCAGGTGTCACACCTCCAGCCTATCACTGGTCAGCAGATGGTCTGGGCTTTCATTGCCCCCATCCAAAGCCTAGAAACGGCCCCGAGAAGCTCAGACTTCAGGCTTCTGTCTGTCAGTCCCTCCACCACACCCCTCCTACCTTTCCCTTGGGACGTTTGGGGCTGGGGTTTGGTTCTTAGTACCACCCATCCTCTCCTGCCAGTGCCCTGTTTATTTCCTGCCAGGCAAGAGCAAAATGGCACATTAAACAACACTGCCTCCCGCTACATAAAAGAAAGGCAACTCTGGCCCAGATCAAAGCCAGCAGTTCTTCTGAAGGCAGTATTTGAAAGACAAAACTTGCGGTGACTTTGCTTGTTTCTTTCTGGTGGCTGCTTTAAAATCGTCAGAGTCCCTTTCACTAGCCAAGGCATAGCGGAGAGCTAGCTGGCTTTCCTCCCTCCTTCTTCTGGGCTGTCCCAGATCGGGCTCAGGATCAGCTCTCTCCCAAAGTAACTGTGTGGCCTGTGACAACTGCTCCCCCATGGCTGTCACTGTGCCCATCTGTGAAATGGACCCCGGACAGCTCCTTGTGCGAGGTCCTGGAAATGGCTGGAGTCTGTGTGCGTGCTCCAAGGGCTGCCTGGATGGAACCCTCCTGGGGCATGCACAGAGATGGGGACCTCCCTGTTATATCACGGGAACCTTCATCTGTAGGTGGGCGGTGGGGTTGCGCTTCAGGATGTGGTCCTGCCATCTAAGGTTCTGACCAGTGATGCTCCTGTCCCCTCTCTTTCCCTCCGCAGGACTGGCACCAACCCCTCTGGAGAAGCTGTGGCCCTGGGGAGCCAGAGTCCACCCAACGACTCCTTGACACAGTTTGTACAACAGCCCGATGTGATCTATTTCATTCTCTTCCTCTGGCTCCTGGTTTACTGCTTGCTACTCTTCCCCCAGCTTGATGTCAGTCGGCTCTGAAACGTGTCTGGAGAATAAAAAGTCAGGACCCTGACCAGGGTGGAGTCTTCCTACCGCATCTTACTGTCTGTTCAGGGTCGAGCCACTTCTAAGAGATGGAAGACCTCGGAGGGAACACAGGCCCCACCTCCTGCCGCTGTCTGGTTCAGTCTTTGCTCGCGTTTCCCCTTGATTCTCTAAGACCCTCGAGCGTGCTTTCCTCCCTCACTGTGTGCTCCAAGCTCAGGTTTGAGGCTGGATCTGTGGACAGGATATCTCCTTATGTGCCTTGTTTGGTCAGATGCGAGTCTTTCCTAATGTGTACCCCAAACCTGGGTCTTAGCATGTGCACATGCAGGTTTCTAAGGTCCTGGAGGAGCTTGGGTTACTTACTTTTACCTTAGGGGAGGGTCTGTCTGATTTCGAGAAGGAACAGAATCCACAGTAGGAAGAAAGGGGCCCAATTTTCCTCCAAGTGTTTGAGTGAAGATCCTACGACTCCCACGAACCTGTTCCAGCCTGAGGATCCATTACGTTGACTGGGGGAGTTCAATAGCTCATACCTGCCATCTCCCCAGGAATTACACCTGGGCGTTGGCAGACTCCAAAGAAGTCACTGGTATTTTGCCTTGGTGTCCTCTGAGGGTTGCATTTTTTTTTTAATTCACTTTCGTATTGATTGGTTTGAGGTAGAGCTGTAGTTTGCAAGCCTTCATGCCAGCAGGACCTCCTACAGAAGAAAGCAGAGAAGGGGCCAGACTAGAACTGCATCAAAAGCAAGGCTCCTGCTTACTGGGATAGCCCTGAGGCTCCCTCCCACTCTATATGGAACCTGAAGTCTCTGTGAGGCAGCATGAGGAGCGCCCCCTCATGGGGGTGGGAGATGGAGGGGAGGAGATCGCTGGAAGTGCCCAGGCCGGAATAAGCTCCCACGAACACAGAACTGGGAGCGTTCCTGCAGGTTTCAGGGTGCCCACCTTGGCACCAGCACCCTTCTCAGCAACCATAACAGATATTCCAAGGCTTTCTGCAAAGTGCCAAGGTGTAGGCTGGGGCAGGCAGCTTGCAAAAGGAGAAAGGTTTCTTTCCTCACCCTCCTGTCATCCTCAGCTCCCACCGTAGCATCCTCTGTGTTCTTCTCTGTGAAGACTCAGGTCTGGGAAGACTCTAGGCTTCTCCTCCCCTTCCCATCCCTCTTAAGTATCTCCTAGGCGGCCCTTATAAAACCATAAACTGTTAGTCTCAGGAGGGGGCCTCAGGGAGCATCTTGTTTCGCTGAACTCAGAGAGGCAGAGCAGGCTGGCCAATGTCACACAGCCCACTCGAAACAGACTGGCCATGAGCCCCCAGTCCAGAACTGTTGTTTTTGTAGAAAACTTCAAGTCAGGTACACAAATATCCTGAAAAAGCTAAGTAAAATGTCCTCACTCTAACAAAGCCATCACTTTTAGACCTTCTATTAGTCCTTGATCTTATCCTTAGCTCCTTCTAGAATGTTCTTGACATCTGTAAAAGCTTATGTATTGGTGACTTCTCCTGCTGCTGTGACAAAGTAACTGACAAAAACAACTTAAGAGATGAGGGGGGAGGAGGTGAGCTGGGGCTCAGAGTTCCAGGGTACCATCTGTGATAAACAGGGTGTGGGGATCATAGCAGCAGGAGCGTGAGGCAACTGGCCACACTGTGTCCACAGTCAGGAAGCAGAGAGAGATGGACGATGGTGCTCAGCCACTTTCTCCCTTCTGTTCAGGGCGGGACCCCCAGCCCACAGAAGGGCACTGCTCATATTCAAAGTTGGCCTTGCCTCTTTCTGGAAAAACCCTCAGAGATACATGCAGAGGTGTGTTTCCATGCCAATACTGAACACAGTCAAACCGACGATGGAGAGGAAACATCACATCTTGCATTTGACATACGAGCATTGTTCTTGGTCCAGGTGTCATTCTCCTTAAGCAAGCCAAGGACTTGCTTATATTTAAACACAATTCAGACTGTTTACATTGCACATTGAGTCAGGACAGCAAAAACCCTGGCTTCTCAACCATTTTGATTGGTATCTGCCTCCCCTCCCAAAAAGAATTGAGGCCTTCTAAGGGGAAAGCTTTTGGGAGCTTGGGACAATTCCAGATTGAAGTCCCAAAGCTCCATAGAAAGTGAACTGCTTAATGAGCTCCCTGGTCCCATTGGCAGTTCAAAAGAACAGATGATAAAGGTCATATGTGTGATGTTTTATGACCTAGCACATTGCACAGTCCTTGCCCAGATGAGGTACCAAAGAAGAGCTGACCCAGATGTGAATCGTTTATTTTATGGGTCTAGACCTTGGTCAGAAGTCTCTGCACGCTGTTTCTCGCCTCCTACAGCTTATAACAGCCTTTAAAACTTCTGCAGGCAAGATGCCCAAGAGTCATTCAATTCAGGCTGGCAGGAAGTTGACTATTTTAAAGAAAAAAAAAAAAAACCTAATCTCATTTGAGTGTGGGGGTATATAGAAGAGACTGGAAATGGAAAGCTGATGGACAAGCCATCCAACCACTTGACATCTTAATTTTTTTTTATTTTTAAAGTGTGTGTGTGTGTGTGTGTGTGTGTGTGTGTGTGTGTGTCTTATGTCCTTACCATGTGACTGGGCATAGATCTGCAGATGGAAATAGTGCCCTTTGCTGCTCCTTTCCAATGACATTCTTAAGATCTCTGCTGCCATTCCCATCCCCATGCCTTTCTGCATGATGCAGATGCTCCCCATCCCAGGAGACATGCCCAGTCTCTTTCTCTTGGTGACCTGACCTGAGTGTGTTGTGTCCTTGCTGTAGCACCTGTGCTGAGTCCTCATGGAAAATTTCCTAAATTCTCTTGCAATACTTTTTTTTTTCTTTCTGGATCCCTGGTTATCCCAGTGTTGGACCTCCCTGGCTCATCCCCTCATATTTTTATCTCGTAAGTCTCCCACTTCTGTTTTTATCTGCTTTCAGGGGGATTTATTCCATCTTCTCTTCTCAACATGAACGTTTTTTTTTGAAATTCCTTCTTGTTCTCCGGGTTTTGTTGCATAGCATCCTGTCTTCGTTCAGGAGTGTCAGGTTTGGGTGGTTTTTGTTTTTGGGTTTTTTTGTTTTGTTTTTTGGCTGATGTGTTAAGAGTGTTGCCTGCTCTCGGAATCGCCTTTGTTTCTTCTCTGTCCCATATCTCTTGGTTGGGCTGGGTCTCTGCCTTCCACATTATGAATAGATCTCCACGTCTATTCACGTTTCAGGGTGATGTGTCCAGGAGCTGGCAGGAAGCTCTGACAACCATCTAGGAAGATCCTTCTCTAGTGCTGCCCAGTGGCACCCCCGGGAGCCTGCCATATCAGTAGTTGCATGTTTCTTCCGGGGCTTAACTTGCGTTTTCTTACAGGTCTTCCCACCGCTCCCCGCTGGAAAAGAGGGACACAGGCAAGGCTGCCGCTAGCCCCTGCAGTGTACTTGTGCACTCTTAGCGATGGTGTCCCCTCTGGGCAGAGGCCACCAACCATACCCGTTTGGTTTAATTGGCGGAGGACAGCTGTTGTCTCTTTCTCTGAGCAGATACAGCCCTCAGCTAGGACAGAACAAAGTCTCTGGGTTTTAACTCCAACATGCTCCCTTGGTCAGGAGCACAAACCAGAGGATGAGACCCAGAAACCTCTGGGTACTGTGTTCTGGCCCTGAAGTACACAGTCTCAGGAATTACTATGTAACCTCCAGAACCTGCTCTTGTCTTGCTTAGTCTGTCCCTGGGTTGCAGTTTTCTCGTTCGCTACGGGGGCAGGAGGTCCACAAATCAGCACTGAATCTTACCCTACCTTCACCATTCCAAACCACAAGCCCATTTTAGGTGCCACAGTGGGCGGTTCCTCAGTGCTCCACCCTGCAGGCGCACGGTATGAGGACCCTTCCTGGCCTCTTTCTCTCTTGGGTTCCCCTTCAGCTTTGTTTGGGTGGTGCCTGGCCTTTGACCTGTCCTTTCCTGCCCCTGACTGTGGAACTTCCTCTTCTTTGCATTTATTCCAACAGATGTCAAACGTAAGTAAGCACCTATGTTCAATACTCCATCCTTTGCGACTTTTGCTGCCTTTTGTGTTTGTTCTTTGAGACATGGTCTTACTAAATAGTCCAGGCTGGCCATGAACTCTTGATCCTCCTGCTCCATTCTCCCAAGTGCTAGGTTACAGGCATACACCACCATGCTCGGCTTCTGTGTGGCATCTTGATCCATAAATGCCTCTGTGTTTTCTTGCTGGTTGAGTTAGGTGGCTCACCATCCTGCTGACTTCATTATCAGCTTGTCTTGGATGAATCTTCTGAAGCCATGAGATGTCAAGGGTAGGAGAGCATCAGGCGGCACAAGGAAGCTCTGTTTGCAGGTCATGGCTCAGAGTGGTCCTTTTTCTCTTATATTTCCAGTTTTGCCACCTGCTCCCACGGAAAATTTAAATCTCTGAAATCCTTACAAGACACAGTCTATGAGGTTACATGGTTTCTAGCCCCACTGTGCCTGGCACCCAGCTCCCCACTTCCAGGAGAATGTCCACACTGGCATTTGCCAGACAGCAGACAAGGTTCTTTACCAGTTGGTGTCTGGACTGTGGGGAGGATTTCCCCCTAAAAGTGTGTGGCTTTCCCTAGCTGTCGGTGACAGAGCCTGGGGGTTCCTGACAGGTGTGACCTTGGAGGAGAAATATGCTCCAACACTCTATCTCCAGGCCAGTGTTTCTCCACTGCTGGGCTCAGCCTAGATTGAGCAGCATTCACCTGCACTGTAAGCAGTGGCATCAAGAGGGCAAGGCTTCTCCAAGTCATAGTCTGGTGGTGTTGGGGCTCATGTGAAGGTCTAATACCTTCTTCAGAGATGAAACTGAGGCAGAGGATCAAAAGTGACTCTCCAGCAACAATACCAACACAGGCAATTCAGTAAGGCATTATGTCAAAACAAACAAACAGAAACAAAGAAAGCAAAAATGAGGAAAGATAGACTCATCACCTTTGTAGCTAGTGACTTTGGTGTGGACATTCCTTCCCACTGAAGGTTTATATGAAACTCCAGCCACCCTTAGTGAGGCCTCAGAACACCCCTGGAGCGCATCTCGCCAAGTCAACCAATGAATAGTGAGGGCACCTTGGAAGAACATAATGAGCCTGGCTTCCATTGTGAGAGCTGTCTCTTTCTGTGGATGTCACTTGCTTGATGAAGTCAACTCCTTCCTTGTGAGTTCATCTCTTCCTCAAACTGCAGAGGGCTGAGTGAAGTCTGAGGCCTAGCCTCCCTCTCCCTCTTGCTTGGAGACACTGTCCTTAGGAGTCTCCACTCATTTTTCTGTCTGGACTCAGGATGAGGCAAGTACAGCATCCAGGATCTGAGTAGCAGCCAAGTCTTCTAGCTTGGCCATCATCTATGGTCCTGATGAGGCAGCTGTTCTCATGAGCACTTCCAGGACCTAGGCCGAGTGGCTGCAGATTGTTAGTACTGGGTTTGTTTGTTTTGTTTTTTTCTCATTGGCCGAAAATTGCTATGGAGGTTTCCACCCATTAGCCAACGTGAGACAGCCCAGAGTGACACAGAAAAGCCATGCCTACACTGTGCCTCATTCCCTGACATTTACTGGACTATGGCTTCTGCCAGCTTCTCTCTAGTCCCACGATACCTTATCGCCAGCTGCCCAGTCTTAAATCTAGCAGCTTTTACAAGAGGAAGTGTTAAGCCATTGTATACTTGTAAACTCGCTTGGCCCTGCCAACAGTCCAGGGAAGTATTTTCTTCAGGGAGGATCAAAAACACTGGAAAGAGTCAACAGGTGGCCACAGCTTAGAGCCAACAACCTCCGACTTTTGTGATGAACTTCACTGCTTAGAAATACAGTGATAACCTGAGGAGACTCTGATTCTGAGGTAGCAGTCTATTTGGGAGTTGTGGATGGGTTTCTGAGTCAGCCCTTCCTTACGAGTATACCCTCTCTCTACCCCACCAACCTGTGTCATAAGCTCTTAAATCCCTCAGGAGTACGTGAAATCCATGGTTAACCTACAAACGCAAATTTACAACAACAGCAACAAAATGTTGGCCTCCAGCTTTGTAGCAGTAAAATCTCATCATCCAAAACCAAACACACAGCCTCACAGTCACTTCGGTCAACACCATGTCCTGCCCCAAACTGCTCCCCCTCTCTCCCTCCAACACATGTTTCTCAGAGAAAGAATTCAGGTTTTCTTTCTCCTCTAAACATAAACCTAGAGAAAGAAGCATTTAGTGAAAAATAAGGATTAAAGCCAGCCATGGTGGTGCACACCTATAATCCTAGCACTGAGGAGTCTGGGGCAGGAAGGTTTGCCAGCCTGGACCGGGGAGTAAAATGCTATCTCAACAAAACAAAACAAATCAAACCAATTGCCCCCCCCAAAAAAAACCCCACAAAATAAGCTTTAAAAAGAATTATTTTTATGTGTGTGAATGTTTTGCCTGAATGTATATATTTGTACTCCGTGTATAGTGCCCTGAGAGTCCAGAATAGGGTGTTGGAAACCCTGGAACTGGAGTTACAAAAAGTTTTGAGCCAAACCCAGGTTGTCTGTGAGAGCAGCCAGTGCTCTTAAATCACTGGGCCATTTCGAAAACCCTGCAAATAAATTTTTTAAAGTGTCAAAACAATGGCAGAAGGCTGTGAATTCCTTGGATGAAGTCATAATCAACCTATTACATGGGACTCCTTTTTCTTTAAGTTTAAAAGTCATGAACTTTGCATTGTTATTTACAAAAAGAAAAAAGAAAAAGTAATAGAAAAATCCCACTTGTTTCAGCAAATGCTTTTTTTCCAGGACATCAAAAGTCAGTAGACTAAGACTGCAAGGCTGTGAGCAAAGGACAGCCATAGAATGCCTGTGTCCTTAAATGCCCCGTGAGGAATGAGACATGTTTTAAAGGAAAGTTGGGAAGTTCCCAGGTCTACAGCAGCCTCTGGTCTGGAAATCACTCCCTGGCTCAGCCATGGCACTTTACCTCTCTGGCTGGAAGGCTGAAGGACCGAAAACAAAAGCCCTTTGGGTTTTAAAGTTTCAGGCTCAGCAAGGCATCTCTTTGTTTTCATCTCAGTGCATGGCCTGTTCACTCCATAAATGCACTTGTGTAAATGAATAGACTGCCAAACTTTAGCGCTTGGTTTAGTGTCCAAGAAAGGTGCCTTGGGAAGAAGTTTGGTCAGCCACGGGTAGCCTTACTGTCACAAGGTTTGGAGTAGAACTTGGGGAGCTCTAAGTCTACACCCCAGACAGTTTCTGGGTGGATGGGGGTTTCTTTGAAATTCAAAAATTCAGCTGTAAGGATAATTAGGTATAGGCGACTGCCTGGATCTTTCCATCACTCCCAGCCTTTCCCTCTTACACTAGCAAAGAGAGCTGTGTAGAGCATCCTTGGGGAGGGAGTGGTATGGAGGTTAGGGTCTACAGTAAAGGGTGAACCTGCCTTCTGCCCTTGAAGTTGGACCTAAGATGCTCCTACCTGCATTATTTACTTTTGTGATGATAACACCAGCCAAAGACAAACAGGAAAATGGGCTCCCAAGCGTTGTTGGGACAGGTTGTTTAGCCTGGAGACAGGACTGTGTTCAGAGTATAGCCCCTGATACTGACCAGTGTTTCATTTTTTTCACAGCCTGAGATATAGTTAGCAAACTTAATGCTTTCTCAGTGGCATGGTAGAGGACTTCATGGCTTGTGCCTGAAAGTTGCAGAACTGCTGGGGACAAAAGCAAAATGTTATTTTGTGGTACAAGGATTATTTTTGTCTATTTAGTGTGCCTAGCTATAGCTTTATTAAAACAAAGGGATCTTTGTAAAAAAAAAATGCTGTACAAATGTGCGCTCTTATTTATTGATTATTGTAAATGAAGATATAAATGGATATTTGCATAATTTATACCTGTGGGAAAGTCCTTGGAGTATTTGTTACTTGACTGTTTTCTATCATGGAACATTGGGCCTGGTGCTATGATGAATGACCTTGTAAAATCACATGTATTCTTAAGAAAAATTTTCAATATAAATTTCTTGAAGTGATCACCTCTCTGCTGACTTCTTTGCTCATGTGCACATGTGTGTGTGTTTGTGTTCTCTCCAACTGTCCTTTCTTATTTATTTATTTATTTATTTATTTTGAGACAGAGTTTCTCTGTGTAGCCTTGGCTGTCCCGGACTCACTTTGTAGACCAGGCTGGTCTCAAACTCACAGAGATCTGCCTGCCTCTGCCTGCCAGAGTGCTGGGATTACTGGCGTACCCAGCTTGTTGTTCCTTTCTTAAAAGTAGTACTAGCATCTGCCTTCGCAGGGAGCATGCTCTTCCCGGGGTATGTCCACTTGTCTGGAGTCTTTTTGAGCAAAATTCCAAGAAAGAATGACAACAGTCTGTCATCCCATAGGGTCTGCAGGAGCCTGGCTGTTAGACTTCTGTCAGACACCATAGTCCTTGGCTGCACAGATGAAAATGCAGTGTTTGCCTGTAAACGATACACACATCCATCGTCTACTTCAGTCACCTCAGGATTACTCATGATACTTACTGTGATGTGTGTGCTTATGTAAACAGTTGTCATAGTGTTCGGGGAATAATGGCAGGAAGATAGCCTGTCCATGCCATGTGAAGTACAGACTCGCTGTTTTAACCCTCGTTTTTCAAATCCTGATCTGGAATCCCTCCACACAAGGGACTGGCACAGTGGGAAGCTCTGTGGCTCAGAGCTACACTGTTGGGCCTGCATTCCTGGATTGCTTTTTTTCAACCAGCCTCGTGATCGACAGTAAGCTGTAATAGCCTCATTGGCCAGTATGGTAGCATATGCCTTTATTCCCGGCACTCAGGAGGCAGGGGCAGGCAGATCTCTGTGAGCTCAAGGCCAACCTGGTCTACATAGTAAGCTCCAGGCCAGTCAGAGCTACACAGTGCGGACATATCTCAAAAACAAGAACAAGAATAGCCTTCACGCAAAGGATGGCAGGAGTCAAAAGGGGATGAGGGAAGCAGAGAGTGGAAAAAATATGTGCCGCACACTGGCTGATCTCTCTTCACACTCACCTCACCTTCCACCATCCTGTCCCTCTTTGTGTGTTTAATCTTTGTTTCGGGGGCACCAGAGGTCAACTTGTGGAGTCAGTTCTCTCCCTCCACCACATCGGCGCCGGGGATCCTCAGGTCCGAGTTAAGCACTGCTGAACCATCTCATTGGCCCCACATGTCCAGTCTTTCTAATTCAGCTGTCTGACCCTTCACCAGCCTCCTTAATGCCACACGGAGCCTGCTCCCTGTTTGAGTAAAGAAAGGGAGAAGACACAACAGCCTGTGGGGCTGGGTTAAGGAGAGGACTGGGTGGGAGCCATCTGAGAAAGACAATCCTGTACACAAGGCCACTAGAGCCAGTATCCAGCCGGGCCTAATCAGCTTCTCCTTGGCAGTTAAGTCTTGCTGTGCACAAGAAGGTCATGCCATGGGAAGCTGCAGGTGTAAAGATAGGGTGACATTTTTCTCTCTGGTAACTGCTGTTATTTTTTGGATTAATTTCAGCTGCGTGTGCCAGAAAACTCAGATATCAGTGGCTTAAACCACCTATGGACAATTCAGGAAAGGGCTGGAGAAGTACCTCAGTTGATAGACCGCTTACACACAGAGCCCTCAGTTTGTTCCCCGGCACTACAGAAACAAGCATAATGGCCATGCCTGTGCCTATAAATCCAGCACTTGAGAGGTACAGACAGGAACTCATTGTTGGCTATATAGTGAGTCTAAGGCCAGCCTGGAATACATGAGACTTTGTCTTTAAAAAAAAAAGAAAGAAAACTTGGCGATGGCTCGGTTGGGGAAGTGCCTGCTGGGTGATCAGGAGGACCTCAGTTTAGTTCTCCAACACCAGTGAAGGTCAGCACAACTACACACATGTCTACTTCTGGCTCTGTGGGTTGGGGGCAGGGAGCAGGAACCGAGATAGCCATATCCGTGGAGCTCAATGTCTAGGCCGTCTAGCCAATCAGTGTGCTCCGCGTCCAGTGAGAGACTGCTTCTCAAGTGATACGGTGGAGAATGACAGGGAAAGACATGGGATGTCAACTTCTGGCCTCTGCATTGCACATACATGCACATACCTGTGCACACGAACATACACTCCACATAAACATAGAAAAAGAAGAAAATACAGAAAGTTTATTTTCACCTCTGTCTAGAGAGGCTTTCAGGCTTGATTCATCTAGTAGCTGGCCTGTCCTTCCTTGCTACTCTTGGATCTCTTGTGGCTAGACCATCCTTATACTGTGGTTCCTATCCCATGGTCTAAAATGAACACTATATTTAGATAGCCTACCCCTGTACCTTGCTGTTGAGTGGAGAGAGACGTAGCTGATAGTGTTCAAGAAGGACCACATAACATATCTTCCTTGTCTGGGTGAAGCCACTGTCCACTGTCCACAGGAGGGATACTGTCTTCTGGCTGGTCGTGAGGTTGAGTGAATTGCATGGAAGACTGATGTGTTAGTCAGCTTCTCACTACAAATACCTGTGAGAACAACTTAAAGATGTATCTTGCCTATCTATTGCTGAGAAGACACCATGCTCAAGGCAATTCACAAAACAAAGAGTATATTTGGTGCTTACAGTTCAGAGGGTGAGTCCATGACCATGGCAGAGGGGAGCATGGTCTCAGGTAGCCATGGCACTGAAGCAGTAGCTGAGACCCTACATCCTGACTTGATCCATAAACACAAAACAGAGCATTAACTGGGAATGATAAGGACTTTTGAAAGCTCAAAGCCCACCACCCCCAGTGGCACACCTCCTCCAACAGGGCCACACCTCATAATCCTTCTCAACATTTCCACCAACTGAAGACCAAGCATTCAAACATATGAGCCTATGGGGCCATTGTCATTCAAACCACCACAAGGTGGATGATTTCTTTTTACTCACGGTCTCAGAAGAGTCAGTCTGTATTTAGTCTCTAGCTGAATGGCTGAGTCGCCATGACCTGAAGTCTGAGCATTATGGCAGTGATCATGTGATCAGAGATCATGTGAACAGGAAGCACAAAATGGGGGCAGGGTGAACACAGACATATTCCTCAAAGACACAATGATCTACTTCCTCCAATGAGGCCCCACTGTTGACATTTTCACATCTACTGGTAATGCCACCAATTATAAACCAACCAATAGATTTATCCATTGATGAAGTTAGGGCCCTCAAGATCCATTCATATTCCAAAAGCTCTGGGGACCATGCCTTCAGTACATGAGCTTTTGGGGCAATAGATACTTTAACCATAACATAGTTTGGGACAGCATCCCAGGTGGTGCTTGCCTAGGTTCTCACAGTTGGGGTGGGCCAGCTGTGACAGCTGGCTCCCTCAGCACACGGGCCTTCTGGTTGGGTTCTGGTGACAGGTTAGAAAGTCTACCTTCTCTCTGATGGAGCACACCAAGCATCTGAGGTGGGGAGAGAGACATGAGGGACATACTTGCCATGTATCAGGTACTCTCCCAGATGCCAGGCTGTGCAGCACACAATCCCAACACTCCAAATGGTGAGTGCTGCATCCTCTCACAAAAGGCAAAGAGCTTAAGAAATAAATGAGTAGAGAAGAAAGGACAGAGCTGAAATGAAACTCGGAGGCTCCAGGAATTTCCTGACACATTAATGTGCTTTCCGAGCCCCTTCAGGTAGCCCCAAAACGATGTGACCCAAGAAGTTGAGGCTGATCCTAGGAAGGCCTTGCAGACGCTACTAGGAGAAGGTCTGAAGGTCTGTTCTCCCTGTGGAAGAAGATTACAGGAGCATCCAGTGCCCCAGACCAACAGTCAACTCAGAATCTCGGGGATCTCAGACCAACTTTAGCTTTCCCAAGCTCAGTTCCCATCACCCTTGCCACATCCCCACTTTGTGAACAAAGATGAGGCCCATGGAAGTGACTCAGGTGTCAGTAAAATGACACCATCCTGTCTGTCTACATTAAATCTCCCTTTTCCTGGTGCTCAACCCATCCCCCACCCACTCTTCCTTCCTGGACTTTACCGCGCCACTGCCACAACAGAGCAGGAAAACATCCCTGGTGGCCTTGGGTTTTCTAGACAGGCAGCAGCTTTTCTCCTGTGCCACCGTCTCTAGTCTCTACCCTGGCATAACAAAAAAGGCTGTGAAAAGGCAGCAAGAAAGCCACAAGCCAATAGTTACAGAACCCAGGTTGTGTCATTCAGTTTTGCTAGGCTGGAGAATGACCTATTTGTGGTGACCAGAGAAAGGCCTAGAGTTCGAGGTGTGTGTGTGTGTGTGTGCGCGCACATAGGGAAATTGTGTTTACACCATGGGTGTCATGTTGTAGGTGGTTGTTTTCTAAAAAACAAACAAACAAACAAACAAACAATGTGCTCTGTTCTTGGGGATTGTGGGAAGATTCCAGATGACATATGTGAGGAGAGAGCTTAGCTGGGGCCTGGGATGGATCTGGGCTCATCTGGGGTGAGTCTCCCAAAAGAATCTCCCAAATTGATAGGTGTTTATGGGGTCACTTCAAATCATATTGTGTAACAGAGGCACAAGACACTAGACATTTTGGTCCCAGTGCCATACACAGGACAATGTGTTCAGGGCTCCTGCAGTGTTTGTGGTATTGGAAGACAGCTGGTTTGGCTCAGTTCTGACTCGTGCCCTGATGATGCTGGAAGGTGCCATCTTACTGTGTAACAGCTAGACAAAAATCTCTATGTACTTGGAGGCCTTGGCACCAGTGTCACTCCATGGCAGAAAGGATTCTTCATGTATTGAGTTGTAAAAGGAACTTTTACTCACCTGTTTTAATTGTCTCAGAGGATTACTGCCTCTGCTAATCTAGTCCTGGAAGCTTCTGGCCTCTGTACAATCTAACATAGCCTAGAATATTTTCAGCCTCTGAGACTTACTGCTGAATAAGCTCACCCTTTCTTTGTTGGTGTACTTTTTAAAACTCTCTTATTTACAGTTCTTATATCTCTTTCTCCCTACACCATCCCAGTTGCTTCCAACACTCCAACACCAAGTAGGAGA